GGCGAGCGGTACCTTGTCTTGTTTAGGGGGTGAGAGAGTGAGTTCACCGCCAGTTATCTGCGCCTCCGTTCGTCGCTCGCTCGTGCTTGATCGTCAGGCCGTGCTCTCACGTCCGCCGGAGCTACCTCGGCTATGGGCACCATTTTACAAGTTTGACCGCCGACATGTCGGCGGTCCGGCTCAGTCAAGGCAATGTCGCTCGGGGCTCGCTGGCTCCGTGGATGCTTGTGCTGCTGAGCAATCCAGGCGCACTTTGGCAACCGGCGGCAACGACTTGCGGCGTCAGCATTCGAACGGTTGTGTTGATTTGCTCTTGCTCCGCGGTATCTAGCCGGCGCGCTCCGCGCGGGTGTCAGCTAGCGCGCTCCGCGCGTATGTCCAGGTAGCACCAGCGCGCTCCGCGCGCATCTCAGTGCCTATGCTTATAGCCACTAAAAGCTCGTTTCTGCAGCTTGGCCAGGGCCGGGGAGCTAAGACGCGCCCCCAGCGGCCGGATGATCGAAAGAAAGAAAGAAAATAGCAAAGGCGGGGAGGACGGCACGCGTATCCGAACAGTTTTGAATTCTTTTCCGAGAGCCAAAGTTGTGCCGCACGCCTGCCTTGGGCAGGCATGAGCTCCCTCCTCAACTCCTTCTCGGAGGGAGCAAAGGCTGCGCAGGAGCGGGCCAAGGAGCTCGCAAAGCAGGCCGAGAAGGCTGCCTCCGAGGCGTCCAAGAAGGTCGAGTCGGCCAGCGCGGCTGCGTACGCGAGCGCTGCTGGAGTCGCCGGATCGCCTGCGCCGGCCGCCGGCAAGGTCGGCAAGCGGACGCTCGAATCGCTCGGCAAGGAGGAGCTCCTCCTGCTCATCCAGCGCGAGATGGAGTCGGGCAAAAAGCACAAGGCCGCGGCTGAAAAGAGCGCCGCAGCGGCAAAGGACGCCGTCTCCGCAGCGGCGGCCGTCAAGGGCGCAGCGATCGCGCTCGCGCCAGCGTCGGAGCAGGCGCGGCTGCGGCCGCTGTGGGGCGAGGCCCTCGCCACCGCACTCGCGGACCTCGAGCCGGCGGCGCAGGCCGGCGGCGGGGAAGACGCCGCGGCGGCGCAGGCGGCTGCGGTGGCGCAGGCGGTGGCGCAGGCGAGGGAGGAGGCGGCAGCGGAGGGGTCGAAGGCGGCGGCGGCGGCGGCGGCGGAGGTGCAGGCCGCCAAGGCCGCCGCCTCCGCCGCCGAATCCTCCGCCGCCGAAGCGTCTGCCGCTGCGGCTGCGGCGACCGCGAGAGCAGAGGCGGCAGAGGCGGAGGCTGGCTCGCTCAGAGCGGCGCTCGAGGAGAGGGCGGGGGTTGGGAAGGAGGCGCAGGCGGCGCTGGAGGCGGAGGTCGGGCGGCTCAAGGGGCAGCTCTCCGCGGCCGGCGAGGCGGCGCGGCGCGAGGCGGCGGCGGCGGGCGAGGCGGCCGCAGCGCTTCGGCGCGAGGTCGAGGCGGCCAAGGGCAGGGCGGCAGAGGCGGAGGAGGGGGCTGGCAAGGCGGCTCGTGGGGCGGAGGAGGCGCGGCGCGCCGCCGCGTCGGAGCAGAAGGCGGCGGAGGAGGCGAGGGCGCAGCGGCACCAGGCGAACCTTCTAGGAACCTTCTAGGAACCTTCTAGGAACCTTCTAGGCGAGGGCGCAGCGGGACCAGGCCGCCGCCGCCGCCTCCACGGCCGAGGAGGCCAAGGCTGCGCTCGGCGAGCGGGCGGCGCGCGCAGAGGCGGACAGCGCGAGTGCGGTTGGCGAGGCGCGGGCGCGGGCGGAGGCGGCGGAGCGCGCGGCGGCCGCGCACGGAGAGGAGGCGGCCAAGGCGCGCGCGGAGCGGGACGCGGCGCAGCAGGCCCTCGTGCGCGCGCAGCGGGCGGCGGCCGACGCGGCGTCTGGCAGCAGCGCCGAGGAACCTTCCAGGAACTTTCTAGGAAGCTTCTAGGAACCTTCTAGGCGTCGGGGAGCAGCGCCGAGGGCGAGGCGCACGCTGCCGCGTTGGCAGAGGCGGAGGCGACACGGGCGAGGCTGCAGGCGGCGCTGGACGCGGCGTCGGAGGTTGCGGTGCAGCTGCCCGCCGCCAAGAGCGAGGAACCTTCTAGGAACCTTCTAGGAACCTTCTAGGAATCTTCTAGGTGCAGCTGCCCGCCGCCAAGAGCGAGGCCGCGGCCGCGGCCGAGCGGGCTGGCGCGTTGCGCGGTGAGCTCGACGCGGCGAGAGCGGACGTCACGGCGGCGCGCGAGCAGCTGGCCGCCAGCGAGCGCAAGTTGGCCGACGAGCGTTCGCGCGCCGACAGCCTCGAGGCGGACGCCGGTCGCCAGTTTCGCGGCGTCGGCGGCGTCGCGCGAGTCGGTCGCCGCTGCCGAGGC